AGCAGGTACATAGGTCTGTCTGCTTTTGAGCTTACTGCTAAACTTCGTCTTCTTTTCAAATGACATAAAATTATGAAATTTCTCTCTAACTTACTGATTTAGATCTATGGTTCAGTTGAGGCTCAACTGGGTAATTTTGTCTGGTCGAACCTGTAAAGATCCTGATATAGATTGTTTGATTCGTTCGGAATTGGTCCTTTGGGGTTAATTACAAATCAAAGATTTGTTTTTGATGAGGTTTGTTGTCTTCAATTTATTGCATACTTGGTTGTTGAATGTAGAAGTAAGCTAGTTATTGTGCTTTGAAGAGATGTGGAATTTCTGAGATTTGGTTAATGGTTTTGCGTGGCATAAAACTTTCTGTCATCTATTTCTTACAACTGAGGCTTGAACCGAACTCGAACTTGATATCCTTTAATCCAAATCTACTTGGTAGATTGGCCACTTTTTAACTTTCTAGGAATTGCTCATGAACAGCCTCAAGTGGGTTTAACACGAACCCTGAGCTTTGAATTAGTTTAAGCATTCACAAATGCTGGACTCGAATCTCCTAAAGGCTTCTCCTTTTCGTTTTCGGCAATTACTGAACCAGTATAGATACTTCTTCCAAGCATGTTCAACAATACATGGATGTTGAAATTTATTCAATCTAAAGTTGTTTTGTGTGGAAGCATGGTGAGCCCAAAAGGTCTGGGAAACTAAAGAGGAAATACAATGGAACCTATGGAAGAATGTTGGCTCTGGCTGTCCATGCTTTGGTTGAGGTAAAATCCAACTGCACTGCCCGTTCTTGTCTCTTATCAATTAACTATGAGTCGTGAAATCGTGGAATGGTTATTATATTTGATAGGGACAGAATAAACCCGAGCCAAAAGAATTATGGCGGGAGCCCAAGGAACAAGCTGCTGCTTGGAAGCCGTGTGCTGATCAACGTACCTGGGCACCCAATGGTCTCTCTCTCTCTCTCTCTCTCTTTCTCTCTCTCTCCCTCTCTTACGGTATATATTTTTTTCCTGATTGGTGTTTTTTTCTGGGATTGAGATGGGAGAAATGGATATATTATGGTAACTGCAAATGGTGGGATTACTCAACAAAGAGTCGCTGTAAGTAAAAATTGGTGTGATGTTTCCTCCTCATTCTTCTAATCATCCATATCTCGATTGTTGCCTAAAGTGTCGTGTTTCATGAGTAAACAGGTTTGTAACATTGTTGTTGTTGCCCGGTTACTTAATGCAACCCTAGTTATCCCCAAGTTCATGTTCAGCGATGTCTGGACGGATGCTAGGTAAATCTTACAAGATTTTCTTCTTCTCTCTCTCTTCGCAAAGTAAAATGTAAGATATTTGAGATTGAAAATTTGTTTTTTTTTTTCAGTTAATTGAATTTTATCTGTGGACCAATACCTTTCTCCTTTGCAAGAATTTATATGCTTCGTAGTGACATGGAAATTTGTGGTATCAATAATTGTTTTATGTGAGAAAGTAACATTCTTTACACTTTGAAAATTCATAGTCAGTTTGGAGATATCTATCAGGAGGAACATTTTATTAAGTACCTCTCTCCCGACATCCGAGTAGTAAAGCAACTACCAAAGGAGCTCCAGTCATTGGATCTTGAGGCAAGCGGCAGCGTTGTGAGTTCTTTGCTCCGTTAATTTCTTCCCGTTCTATTTGTAGCGATGTTTCCTCATGCTTTGTTCATGTTTCTTATTTCCCGTTTTTATCTAAGGTTACGGATTCAGACATCGTGAAAGAGGCGAAACCGAGCTTTTATCTGAAACACATTCTCCCTCATCTGCTTAAGAACAGAGTTATCCATTTTGTTGGATTCGGAAATCGCTTGGCCTTTGACCCGATTCCGTTTGAGTTGCAGGTAGAGACTTTAAACTTCAGTTTGTTTCTTTTTCCTTAGTAATTCCTTTCAGCTCCAATCACAAATGTGTTTGGGAGCCAAGAAAATGAGGGAAAAGGAAAGAAAATGCAGAGCAGAGGAGAAAACAGAGAGATGTATTTTGGAATTTCTGCAATTGTGTTTCACCGAACACCTGCACAGTCTAAATACAAACGCACACACATATATACACATGCTTATACATATGCGCATGTGTATATTTTACACAGTCGTTATGTTTCTGTTAACAAGTAGCCAATAAATCCCATCTTTTGTTCTGTTTCTATGTCCCGGTTTCCTAACAGTGGAAAATCCATTCTAGAGGCTTCGGTGCAGGTGTAACTTTCACGCGCTAAATTTCGTGCCTAAGATACAAGAAACGGGTGCATTGATCGTGAGGAGATTACGTGACAACGGGTCCCACCTCGCACCAGTGGACCCTTATCTCGTCGGTCCAAAATACGCTTCCTCGATTTTGGACAAGAAGTCTGGTCCTGCCCGAAAAGCTTCTAGATACCTCGCTCTTCATTTGAGGTTTGAAATCGATATGGTGGCTCATTCTCTCTGTTACTTCGGCGGAGGCGAAACCGAGCAGAAAGAATTGGAAGCTTACCGCGAAAAACACTTCGCTTCCCTCGCAGCTACATCAAAGACGAAAAAGTTTGTATCTTTCTTCTTCTTCTCTGTTGCTTCTTGTCTATTAAACCCTAAGCCCTAATCCCATCTTATGGCGCTTTCTCCAAATGAGATTCTCCTTTTGTTTGCAGGTTGCCTTCTCCTGAAGAGCTGAGATCAGAAGGGCTTTGCCCATTAACACCAGAGGAAGCCGTTCTTGTTCTTGCAGCTCTTGGCTTCAGCCGAAACACTCGTGTTTTCATCGCGAGCGCAAATATATACGGAGGGGCGAAAAGGATACCTGCTTTGACGAGCTTGTACCCGAATTTAGTCACCAAAGAGAATTTGCTCTCCCCGAGCGAGCTTGAGCCCTTCCTGAACTATACATCTCAGGTAAATCCAATGTTAGGGGTGGGCGTTCGGTTGATTAAATTTTTCGGATTAGGGTTTAAGGTTATTCGAATCCGAACACAAACATCTCGGGTTTCATGAGATATTGCCCGATTTCATATCCGTTTTGGACAGGTATATAAGATAATTTTTGGTACCGCGGTATCTGATTTTGAGGTCCAAATACGTAATTTCAAACTTTTTCAAAATATATATCATATACTTGGGATTGGTTCGAGTCGGATAATCCTGAACTCTCAGGTTCACCAAATCTGAATCCGAAATTTCGAGAGATTTTTGTTCCTAATCCTAGTTTTGTATGTAATTTTTTTAAAACTTGGGAGGGCAATGTGATTTTACCCTTATTTGGGTTTCCATAGGTACTTTCTATATCGGATCCAATTATCCAAACCCAAACTTGAATCTGATTTTCGGATTTTCCTCATGATCAAACCCGATCTCTTCTCGTGTAATAGTCGGGTATCCAAAATTTTGGCCGTAGGTCAGGTTGGGTACTCGAAATTCCACTTTTTTCTATCCCTTGATGTTATAACATACTTGTTGCGTGTGTGTAGCTAGCGGCGCTGGATTTCATCGGGTGTGCTGCAGCAGACGCCTTTGCGATGACAGACTCGGGGAGCCAACTGTCGTCTCTGGTCTCGGGTTACCGTATATATTACGGGGGAGGAAGAATGCCGACCATCAGACCGAACAAGAGAAGACTCTCAGACATATTCTTCAAGAACAACACGATAGAGTGGAAAGTGTTCGAACAGAGGGTGAGGAAAGCGATTAGGCAGACCAAACATGTCTTCGCCAGACCAAAGGGACGAAGCGTTTATCGTTACCCAAGATGTAAAGAATGTATGTGCAACACCATTCAAGATTGATCCTTTCACTCTCTGTTCTTTTTTGATTAAGCCATAAAAAAAACCTATCATGTAACTTTTTTTTTCATCCCTTTGTTGGGTCTATTGTATTGAACAATGTTCTTGTTTCTGTGAGGATGTTGTCATTTGGGTATGAAGATTTTGTTGGAGAGTGCACTCTCTTTTTGTGGCTCAAGTACGACGATAGCGTTATCCGCAAGTTAGGTTTGGGAGATTGCTTGCTTCACAAGGCACCCTTCACTAATTTCACGTTTCCGGGATTTCTTCAAGTTCACAACATTACCCTTCGAGCGCTAATCGTCACCAGAGTACAAGTTAACTGAACACTAATCCCAGTACCAAACATCCCTACAACAAATAAGAAGAAAAAGGAACAAGAAGAAGAAGAAGAAAAACCATTCCCTTCCTCTCTTTCCTTTTCTTCTCTGTTCTTTTTCGGCCCTTCCTTCGGGATTCTTTTTTTTTTACAACGCGCAGAATCAAAATTCTACAGGTAAGATAAGAGATGAACAAGGATCTGACTCACATTACCCGGGTTTTTTTGCCCTTTTTGTTTTTTCTTCTCACGAGAACATTGCTTCATCTTTTCCGGCGTTTTGGCTCCACCTGCAAATGTAAAAGCAAAAGCACTAAGAACGGGCATAGAAGGATAGGCAGTGGATCAATATTTGCAAAGATGTCACTGTGACATGAACATATGCAACTTTCAAGAGATGCAAGAAAGAACAGTGTCCCATGATCTTGGAACAACGGTTGAATTTATTATGTTTTCAGACTCCAGATACTAGGATCCAAACATAAATATGGGCATAAATTTTTACCTAAACAAACTCGAGAGACAGTGCCTATAAATTACCATAATTGTAAAAGAATAGAAGAAAAATATACAAGAATAGCAAGAAGCCGATATAACACTATATATTTACTTGCATTTCAGAGATGAGGTTAAGCCAACCAAGAATCATTACTAAAAAATTTCTACAATGTGGGTAATCTTACTTTGACATCATCTGTTGGAGATGGAGCGAATCCGTTCTGCAATCTCTTGCCATCATCATCCACAGCAGCAGCATCACATTCAGAACACATGAAGTGATCCAACTTCTTGGCTTCCTCTATGGTCATTCCAACACAAACCGGATGATACCTACAAATATTAAAAAAACAGTATGTGGAAGCATATCTTATTTGTATCTCTCCTAGTAGTATGACCAGTGTTATGCCAGCATTACCAGTACCGATGCTAGTATCGCCTAATTGCAGAGAGGATATTATAACATATCAGCTTAATACTTCCGAAAGAGTTAACCCGGGATCGAAATGAGTGGAGAAGAATGATTCATGTGACCGACCCCAAATGAACTTGGGAATGAGGCGATGTTGATGTGATGTGATGATCAGCTTAATACTAGTTGAATGCAGAGCTTCTCAAGTCATCTTTTAAAAGATTTGCCAACTTACATAGAAATAGCAATTCAGATTTGTTACAACCATTAAAGAAATACCGAAATAGAAAGAATTGATTTGACTATAACCTCTATATCTCCCAGATACCGACTGTAAAGTTTCAATTTCATCCTAACTAGTTCATATCATCAACGAGCAACAGATAAAATATCGGAACTATTACCAGTCCTTGCAACCTTCACATTGCACCATGAGGTCATCTGGATTGTACGGCATCTCGCACTTACAGTACCTTTATGAAGACAGTCAAGGCAAGAACAACAAAACCGAACACAAACCCGTCAGTTAGACACCGTAAAGAATCCAACATCGAATAACCCATATCATTACTTATTCATAAGACACTCACACAGCAACTCGATCTGGCGTAAAAGCTCCAGTTGCAGCCTTATACTCAAACCTGCAGTAGTAATCCTCAGCCCCGACATTCTCGAGCTTTGTATAGTTCTTGAATGTGTGAACGATGCATTTCCCTTCGATGGTATGACCACTCTGAACATCGTAGTGATCAGACAAGAATAACTCTTTGACTCCATGGAACTGTCTCCTACCTCCAAGTGATTCCTCCGGCCGATAGTACCATCTTACATGTACCTTAACATTGTTCCGAGCATCGGTCTCAATCTTCTCCACACGGGCAACGTAAGGAGGCTTTCCGGCATCCGATGGACGCATCAAAACGCAGTCTCCAGCTGAGAAAAATCGGTAATACCCATCTTTTGAGAAAACCCGCAAGAGATATTCTCAGTCCCGAATGGATTCAAATCATTCAGAAGACAAGCAAATTCACAAAAAGTTTTCCCCTTTCCATAAATAAACCCCCACAAAATCTAGAAGTTCTACTCTTCGATTAGGTTTCCGATCCTCCTGAACTAAGCAAACCCAATGGCATTCAAAAACCCTAATCCCGATTAAACACAGACATTGCGACCTCGAGAAGAAAACCCAACACAGTTCAGTCGCCAAACAAATCGAAATCCATCGATGCAACAAAATCTTCCAAAATAACTACCTCGTACGATTTTGTTGGTGCCTCTAATGGTGTAAGAATCCAGCTCTCTCTTCCCTGGTTTGCTCTTGGAGCTACTACTAACCCCTGGTCTTGTTTTAGCCATCGAAGCCTTTAGGGTTTCGGAATTTCAGCTGAAGCCCGTATTCGCTCCTCAAAAAATGCACAAAAACCGCAGCTTTACACGAAGACGGGAAGCTCGGAGGGAAGAACAACGCAGACAAAAGACGGAAAAGTTCTAAGGATTCATATCTGTGAGTCGGTGATTTTTATTACAGTTGACGGATGGGAGTGGGAGACAGATATTCGATTAATTTAATTGTTGTTATGTATCATCTTAATCTTCTTTAATTAATTTGGTTAACCCTTTTTTTTCTTTCCTTTCGTGAGATTATTAAACGCTAAGCATGCTCTCACTGGTGTTTTTTAATCTATGACGAATCATATTCTGCCACGTGTAACACTGTCGTATCACCCAAAACATGAACGGTTAACGTTAACCATTAAATCAAAATAGAAAAAAAAAGAAGAAAAATTAATTCTTTAGTTAATGTAATATCAGAAATGAAAAAAAAAACGAATACAAAAGAGTAGGAAAACAACTAGCTGAAGAACAATTCCAAAAGAAAATAACCAGAAAGGAGAATTCCGGTACATTGATAACCGGAACCGGTTTATAATGAATCCTTGGAATATTACCCTCTCTTATTAGAGTGCGTAAACCGGATTTTCCTGCTCCGGTTAAGGGGGGAAAAAAAAAGGAGTTGTTGGCTCAGCGGTTGATTGGAGTGTTCATACGTTCAACGATTCTGTTCACAGCGTCACGAGACATAACAAGCGTATCGTGAAGAAGAATGCTGTAAACGTTAAGGCCCTGTGGCATAAACCCGAGAAAGATCGGCGTTAAAAAAGACGATATCGAGATATAGATTCAAGAACGAAAACCCGGGAAAAAAATGCTTCTGTGGGTTATATATGAAACTCACAATGGAAGGAAGAATGTTGACGTAGTGAAGATTCTGGGTGGCGAGCTTCAGCTTTTCATCAATGGAAGCTCCATCTACAAGGAGGAGCTTTTTCGTTTTCTCCATTTGATTGTAATACTTCACAATGTTCTTCGTTTTATGCGTTGGCACTCCCAAATCGTCGAATACTATAAGCTGCAAAAGTTTTCCACAGAAATTTTCACGGGTCAGCGGAACGATAAGACGCATCAAACAAGGGAGAACAAGTGAAAGTTGTGAAAAATTTACAGCTTAGGTTGTGCTCTTCATGAACTTCTATTTTCAATTTTACTAGACTATGCTCATCAAAGGACCTTGAAGTTCAATAAATCGGGTAATAACGAGAGAAAAATCCGTAAATCAGATTTGGGCTCGGGTATTTGTGTCCGAGATCGGGTATCACCACAGATAGCCAAAAGAACAGTAAAATGACGCTAATGCATCTACTGAAATCTCTTGAAATATCGGATTTGGTTTGGGTAATCCGAAAATTTTGGATATCCAACCTGAATCAACTCCTAATATAAGATATATATTTTAAAAAATTCGAAATTTTGTATTTAAACTCCGGTTCGAGTACGTGAAACCCGAACAATCGGATTCAGATACCCGAGCGTGCCCACCCAGTTGTCTCTGTGTGTTGGTTTGAGTGATTGAGATAAAGCTAGTCTGATTGACGTGGCAAAGGGCATTCCTTGTCCTCAAGCCCCACATCTGATGAAATAGGAGCCTCTAAGAGATAAGGGAGAGAATGGGAGAAAAAAGAGAGAAGGCTTGCCTTTCCTTCGGCAGCCCGAGCAGTCAATGCTATCTTCAGGCCAAGCCGTCTCACTTTCTTATTCAACTTTATTGCATGGCTTCTCGGCTTTGGACCATGCATTGTGGCACCTCCTCTGAACTGTTTTCAGGGTTTTTTTTTTTATAAAAAAAGATCAATCTTGGAGGAAAATAACCCGTAAATCCAATCCAAAACTTACGAGTGGATTTTTACCTGAGGGCCACGTAATGTACCATGTCTAGCCCGTCCTGTCCCCTTCTGGTTCCACGGCTTTCTACCCGTACCACTGACCTCGCTTATCGTTTTCGTCGAATGAGTTCCCTTTTGTCACGCGATAGAAATGAATTAGAGTGAAGCATGAAGCAATTGATCTACACATGCCCATGGAGATATAGACATACATACATACACATGCATGCATGCATACCGATGTTTTTTTACCTGTTGGCGTTTTGCGAGCTGCCATCTGACGACATGGTGGATGATATCCTTCCTTATGGGAACATCAAAGACGCCACCGGACAATACCATGAAACCCTTGTCCTCGTTTTCGAAATTCGTCACTGGAATTACTAAGTCCTGATAGAGTCCTGTGAAAAGTACCATCAAGAACGAGCAAAACACTTGTACAGAAAATTTACACTCTAACTGGATCTATTCAAACATGGAAACGATATTTCTAGCTTTCAAACAAGAAATAACAAGATGAACAAGGCCCGGCAAATCCTTAGTCCTGAACACAAATAAGTTCACTTCACTGGTGTGAAACCACTACCAACTCATTATCCGTTTCTCGTAACAAACTTTCACAAGTGAAAAAGCTTAGCACAATGACGCATCGGTCGTAAGAAAAAACATTGTGTGAATTCATATAAGCTAGAGATGGTTTCTTGCATACATGTAGTTCATATATAACCTAGTTCAATGGATTCAACTTCATATACCTATGGTTCGGTCTGGAGTAATCACTGCCTTTTTGGACAGCAAATCAGAAGGAAAGGCGCCATCACTCGAATCGGGAGTCAAGACAGAAGTAGAGAGCTTTCGGTGGGTAAGTAATGCCGTTCTGGCCTGCTTTAGAACAAGTACAACTCAATGTATGCAGATGGAAACCAAAGGCAACGAGCCAAGCTAGGTAAATTCACCTTCAGATTACTAGAAAGAGAAGACAAGACATCTCCAGAGACACGAGTAAATAAATCTGTTCGAACAAAGATGACACAACGATCAGAAACCAAGAACAAGACTTTCACTCTGCACCAAATACATAAGAAAGATACAGAGAAACTGAAGCAATACCCGCAGAAGCGGCCATAGATCCAAACGAGCGCAGAAGCCTTCTAGAGAGTGAAGCAGCCATGGCTCCGAATCAATTACAGAAGATGACGAAGGATTAACCAAGAAGACTACCTCGGCATCCACAGCACCAAAACCGAATTCTCAGTACTCATTAAGAAATTGATAGTTGCAAAACAAAATAATCAATCGCGAATGGTAAACTATTGGGTACAAAAAAAATCAGAAGGAAACCATGTTCATAACAAGCGATAAAAATTACCAAAAAGGAACCCCATTTCCTAGAAAACACAGAGAGATGAAATCTCGAAATCAATAAGCTGTTTCCTCCGAGCTTCGACCCCATAAACCCAGAGATGGACGAACCAGAAGAAGAAGAAAACAATTGGAGGGAAAAAAAAAAGGATGCACTTACCGGCGACGAGAAAATTTTCGCCGACGGCGAAGTAGAAGGGAGATGACGACGATCGCGGAGCGGCACGGAGGTTTACTTTAGGCCCGGGGTTTCAGCGGACACGACAAACCGAGGTTTACATTGTTAGCGGATCGGGTCAAATCGGGTCGGTCGGTCGGTCGGGTCGGGTCAGGAAACTACCGAGTCTATAAATGGGCCTTAAGGATTACATATATTCAACAAGCCCAATAGCAAAATAGTAATTTCAAATTTTAGGGTTTCACATCTCGACAGTATAAAATACCCCTTCTCCTTCCGAATATCATTTTCTGTAGGCTGCTTCCCTACTCTTCTTCTCTGCTATTTGTCACTGTTTTGTTTCTGAAGAAAAGTGAAGACGACAAGATTGCAGGGACTCCTGTGTTACATGGGAGAAGAGAGAAGATGATGGGTGTCTCTTTCTCCGACAAGAACCAGCGAGGGAAAGTGATTGGCCGAGATATCGTTTCAGTCGTCCTCTCACTCGGTTGAACGCCCTTCAATTTGATGCTTAAAACATTAGATACAATTCGATTAACCCGAATCAAATGGAATTGAACCAAATCGTTCTGAGAAGGGAAAAATGTCTAATGGGATTTTAGATGCTATTATATAAAAAAGTTAATGCCACTCTCTTTATAATACACACACACACATATATATATATATGTATATATCTTCTCTACAAGACCCACAAATATCTATATACATGGAAAGCATAGATGCTATTAAACTAATTAATTAAATTATATCATCATGACGTACGATGTATAGTGAGTATATATATATATATATGTCTATATCTTCTCTACAACTTAAAGAACCATTAGTTCACATTGGCTATCTTATTTTCATGATACAGATAATTAACCATTGAAAAATCCCGTAACTAAACATCGATATTACAGAATTAACCCCTTTTCTTATGAAAAAAGAGTAAAATATACAAAAATTAGGGCGAAAAGAGAACCCAAATAAATTTATCAGAAAAAAAAAAAATTGGACTAACAGCAGCAAAATAATAAAATCATTAAAAAAAAACGAGCTTTGTTTTTGTAATTTTCTCGGCCATTTCTGCGTGAAAATTTCTCAGCTCCAAACACCAAAAAATTTCTCACCGAGAAAACTCACAAACCTCTTGACAGAGCCCTTCTCCTCCGCCGCTCCGCCACCGCCGGAACCCTGCTCCTCTGCCGAGTCAGACCCGACGCCGCCACCACTTAACTCGGTCCCTCTCGGACTCGACTCGCTGATCCTACTTGGACAGGCCGGGTCAACCCCGCCATCGCGGACGGAAGCTGTTCCTCTCTTCCTCCGATCATTTTTCCCGCTTCTTTTCTTCTTCTTCCTCTTCTTCGTCTCCAGCCTATCTTCGAAGGCGTCAATGATCTCGTGAATGAGTTGGCGACTCGGGGACGAGTCCCATCTGAGCCAGTAACTCGTGTAGCAGCTGAAGCAATCGCAGTAAAAGAGAGGTGGGTGAAAACCTTCGGTTTGGGGTTTGCGGGTCTTGGTATTTTCCGACAGAGAGTTAGGGTTCCTGTCGCGGGAGGAGGAGGAGGAGGAGATGAGGTAAGCGAGGACCTCTCGGTCCTCCGGCGAGAGAGCCGCCGCTAGGGAGAGGATTGTGGTGGGAAGGAGAAGAGAGAAAAGTTTGTCGTCTGCTTTTACCTCCGGCGACGGGTGTACAGTTCCTTTACGGTACAGCTTCATGGAGGGAGAGAGAGAGAGAGAGAGAGAGAGTTCTTGGAGAATTGAATTTTGAAAGTTCCCTTTTTTACGTTTTTGTTCTTTCTATTGCCACGTTTTTTCAGTCGTGTAGAAAGGGGGTTAAGATCCGGGTCAGAGTCAAAGAATACTCTGATCACAAATATGCGTGTGCATTATTCTCTCTCTAATATGGTATATACATGTGTATATATATATATGTACTGTGTATGTAATGTCTATAATTAAATAAGTAGGAACGTAATGTGCAAGAGCATGCATATGTGGCCGGTGAGATTAAAGAGAGACTGTCTGAACTATAAAATTAAATCAAGGTTATCTAAAATTACTTATTATTTGTTAAATATGTAAAAAAGAAGTAGGATTTAATTTTAAAAAATATATTACATGAAAAATCTGCGAACCCAAGAGAGAAACTTCTTAATGGATGAGTTTTCAGTTTTCGGTCAAACACATGAACGAGTGAAAACGTGATCGTTGAAAAGTCCAAAGCGCACAGCGAGTTGTCTTTCGGAAAAGTGATGTCATTTGAATGGGTTCAGTACGATCATTGCGGTCCATGAATATCGGTCTATCTATATTTATCGTATTTTAATGCATTTTCGTAACACTTGTCAGTTAATATTTTTATAATTAATATCTAAATGTTGTTAACCCGGCAACATATTCACCACGCACAGTCTGCATGCCAAGGTGCAAATATTTCGATCTACTACTTTAGTGAAGTAGGAAGCTTTTCAGTCGTTTGATTACGTAACAAGTATTCAGAAATTTAAATTAGATTAATATCGTAAAATTAATTGTAACAAGTAAAAACCCTTTTAATGTAATGATTTAAAGTTGTGATCATTTCAATTGAGAGCCCAAAGATCTACAATCATGTATCAAGTGATCTTTGTACTAGTTTTGTGTTTTTTTTTTTGGTAAAGTACTAATTTTATGTTAGTGCATAAAACTTTGCAGTAACAATATTATAAATTGCCGATTTTATTAATAAAACAATATTATGCATTGCCACAAATGTGAAAAAACACAACCATTAATGCCAATGGCTTATATTCGGTCGCTTTGATCGGAACCACTGAGCAACACTGTTACAATTAAAACCCAACAAAAATTCGCAACTACAAAAAAGAACCCTAAACATCAAAACCCTAAAATATGCAAGAAAACAATTCATGACCATAACACTATATATACACTTCAAATCATTGAAAATCGACCCCTTTGCCCCCAAACGCAATCGCCAAACGCCCAATCTTGAACCCGTCATCCTCCCTCCGTAACTCTTCCCTACAACCGTGAAACGCAAACGGTTCTCCCAAACCCTCGAATCCGACGCGCGGTTTCGAATCGCAACCGCAACGTTTTGCCCTAGTCACCTCGTTAACGGTACGTTTGTAGTGTCCGAACCACTTGGCTTGCATGTAACCGTTCCTCCTCCAGGGTGGCACGTGAACCCCCACGTGCTTCATTGACAGCCGCATCTCGTTGCACATTATCCTCACTAAGAGTTTCAGCTCTCGTGGAGTTCCCACGAAGACACGTGGCACCTCGGCTATCATGGCGAGGTAACGCTCCGTCGGCCGAGCTATTTGGAACTCTCCGGAAATATTTGGTTCGACTATGTATCGGTTTCGATCTGATCCGTCGATTTGTACGTCCACGTACTCGTATTTCCCCGAAGGGTTCTTGCCAAATTTCTCCCACCGTGACTTGCAAAGACCTACATATATCATATATGCATAAAGAGTATAACAATTGAATTTATTACATATTTATATATATATAGAAATCATCTATATGCATACATATGAAACGTTATATTATAAACTTTGAAAAGGGGATTTGGATTACTGATATAGATACAGTTCACTAATAACTAAACTTCCACTCTATTCTTCGCTAGACCGGACTTGTATGTGTAATGGAAAAATAACAGCTTAACCATGAATTTAAAATATTTTATAATCGGTAGTTGAATAGTGCATGAAATCACTGTTTATATATGTATATGTCTGTGTATATAATTATATATGTAAATAGAGAATAAATAGTATAATTAGTAAATACCTGCATCAAACCCCTTGTTACGAAGAAAATCCATTAATTGTCTCTTAGAACAACTCGTTTCCTTCTCTCCAACGATCTCAGAAGCAGCCACCACCTCCGCCGCTATCCTCCGCCGCTCTCCGTCTAATCCGCCGCCGAGAAGACCCCTCAAACTCTCCTTCACGTCTTCGAAGTCATCGTCGTGGTCGGAATCGTTCTCTTCCAACTTTTCAGCCGCCGTCGGTTTCCCATCTATCTCCATGAAAGACTCGACCAGATCCCTCAGATCCGCCATGTTTTCCGGCGAGTGGTCGCTCCCGCTGATCTCGTCGCAGGGCGTGCGTGCACGCGCCGCCGCCTCGTCGAACGCCGCCGCCACTCTCCTGAATCTTCCGGGAATATTTAAATTTACCATTTTGCTCTTTCTCCCTCTTCTCTCTCCCTCTCCTTTTTTTAGTTCGTCGACGTTTCGCCGAATCTAGCATTGTATATATACATGCACATGTATACGTATATATGAAAATGTGGAAATGTGTATAATGCAGTGAAATGACATGATGAGATAAGATGAGGACAGGGTGGTGAAACTATAACGACAGGGGTTTTTAACGGCGTTTTTGGATCCCTGGAAATGAATCGAGAATACTATAACGTCCATGTTCATAACTATTTAAATTTATAAACAGCTGATGAATTTGTTAGTGGGATGTGTAATGGCCAATTTAAAATTTTATATTGATCCCAAACATCCTCAACTCAAAATAGATAAATATAAAGATCACATGATTTCATCAAATTTTTATAAAAATAATTTGTTTTCAATAAAATTATAAAAATGAGATTTATTTATTTATATATAGTTCCATATATAATTGTTTTTCTTATATCAGATAAAAAAAACTATAAATCCTCTTATTCTCTGCATATTGAATATACTAAAACAACCCCTTATGCAGAAAGATTCTAATAATTTCATGATCCTGCTTCTTCTGATTTTTATTCGGACAACGAAAAAAGAGATTATTTTCCACGGATTATATTTAAACGCCGTTTATTTTTCTGCCGGACTGTTGACTTCAGTAAACGGGCATACTCCCGGCCTTGTAGTAGCGCGTGAAACCACGTGCCTAACAATCTCGGGATCGAAGTGAACATGTGTCTGACACGTGTCACGCCATGCTGGATTTTCTTTTAATACCAATTTAATCTATCTGGACGTGGAAAATGGAAGCAGAAGAAGATCTCAGAGATGTCCAGGTTCAGTTGAATCTGGTTTTATGTCCAAATTCAATGTATCAGAGATGTCTCGTTGTTCATGACGAGACTGTTTTTAAAGTTTAGATAAGATTTTTGTTACGACATTGTAAATAATTTTTACTTTTTTTTTTTTTATAATCTTCCCTGTACGTTGGTTGTGAATCATCAGATGGTTGAACATTTTAATTGTAATGGAATTCGAAATTGTACCCTAATAAGCAAAATGAATATATAATTTTGTTTTCTTGTTTAATATTTACAATAAGCTGAATTTTTCATTTATTTTTATATGTGATCTCTATTAATATATGATTCATCTTATAAACCGGAATCCCACGCTTAAGGCCGAATAAAAAATAATAGGCCTAATGAATGTCCATGTGTAGTAACGGATTCGTACAATAGACTATCACTTCATTTTGCCTTTTTTTCCCTCTGGGCTTTATGCTTAAAGACTATTGAACTTTTTCATGGTAAGTCCACTAAAAGATATGCAACCCCATAATAGACCATAGGAAGGACGAATGTTCCGGTTTTCGGTTCGATACCGTATTTAAGTGGTTCGGTTTAGAAATATTTTGTTAGATTTTATAAAAATTGTACCAAATTATAATCGAATATTAAACAGTTCAATCTAGTTCGGTTTTAGTGTTAGTTTGGTTCAGATTGGTATTGTTTGATGAGTACCAATTAAACATCAAAACATAATATTTACAGATTAGGATTTTGGTTCGCAACTTATCTAATTGTCGTCGGACCAAAAACAAAGTACAACGCGTCTTGGTTGGTTTTATGGCATTTTTATGTGTATCCTATCCATGCCAACATGTCGTCACAATGTCAAGCCTCTCCGTACATAATTATATTATAATTTATTCAAATATTTTCATGTATTTATATCTGCCCTCACAAGTCATTAAATATATTTGGAAAATTTAACAAAAAATATTTAACTTCTCAAATTTCCAGGTAAAAAATGTAAAAAAAAAAAGGTCTAAAATTTCGGAAAAGCCGGTATTTTACTATCAGAACTTTAATTATTTATATTTCGTTTGTAATTTTAAGAGAGATGCCATGTTCTTTGTAATCCAATGATTTCTACTTTTATTTACTCCAGACTTCAGATTCTTTTGACATTTTTTTGATAAATTCATTTATTTTTGTAATGTCAAATAATGTGAAGACAGAACAAAAGACATTGACTCCGAAAGGGTTTTTATTATTAAAAAAAAACATGTCTTTGTTTCTTCTCCTTCTTATTCTCTCCTCTTTCTCTCCTCGACCTCCTTCTTCAGCGTCGGAGGCCGAGAAGAAGACGACGGTAATGAAAACGACGATATCAAACTCGACCCGAGCCTACGGTTTGAGAACCCGAGGCTCCGAGAAGCCTACGTTGCTCTCCAAACATGGAAACAAACCATTTCTTCCGACCCTTTCGACTTCACTGGCAGTTGGGTTGGTCCTAATGTTTGTTCTTACAATGGAATCTTTTGTGCTCCTCTACCTTCGGACAAGAAGACACGTGTCATCGCGGGTATCGATCCCAACCACGCCGACATGGCCGGTTACTGGTCCACAGCGCTCGTTCATCTCACCGATCTCGCACTCTTTCATCTAAACTCTAACCGTTTCTACGGCGACGTCCCTATAACGTTCAACCGCATGAAATTGCTCTATGAACTCGATCTAAGTAACAACAATTTTGTGGGCAAATTCCCCAAGGTTGTCTTGTCCTTGCCACCGCTCAAGTTCTTGGATCTTCGATACAATGGGTTCGAGGGCAAGATCCCAGCGAATCTCTTTGACAAAGGGCTCGACGGGATCTTCCTAAACGACAACAATTTCATGTTTGGGATCCTGAACAACATCGGGAACTCTCCTATCTCGGTTCTGGTCCTTGCGAACAACGATCTTGGAGGATGTATACCCGCAAGCATCGGTCTCATGGGCAAAACCCTAACTGAGATCGTCCTCTTGAACGATAACTTGATTGGTTGCTTGCCTCCACAGATCGGAAACATGACGAGTTTAGAGCAACTTAACGCCGGGAACAATGTGTTCACATGTGGGATTCCAAGAACGGTTTGTAAGCTTTCGAACATCAAGAATTTCACGTATTCTTTCAACTATTTCACCTGCGACGTGCCCAGATGCACAGCGTTTTCGGGTGACAACGTGGTGATGAACGGAACGGGGAATTGTATACTTGGTAAGCCTCTTCAGAGACCGCCTCAAGAATTTTCGACGTTGGATGGTCAACCCGTGGATTGCGACCAATGGCGGATCCAGAAAAAAATGTTAGTGGGGGCAATAGATAAACGTTCCGCTATTCGGTTCGGGTTCGTTTGAAAATAGATCAGTTCGATTCTTTCGGTTTTAGAATAATATGTACAAATCGGTTATTATATCATATTCGGCTCGTTTAGGTTTCGGTTTTTATTAAAAAAAAATAGATCTTTATAAAAAAAAACTATATTTTTTAAAAATTCGGTTCGTTTCAAAAAATTCAATTTTCTAAAAATAATATCGTTCGGATTAAAAAAATATTTTGTTGTTCAATTCTGTACTATTCGGCTATGAAAAATCGTACCAAAACGTTCACTCCTAAAATATTTTATAAAAAATAAAATAAAATATACTATCAAAACAAAATTTACATTTTATCATTAAATTTTATGATTTTTTATTTTTTAAAATTTATCTATAATAATTTTATTTATAATTATCTGAAATATATAATTTTTGATAAAATAAACTAGATAAAAATCGTAACTTTATATATTTTAATTTAATTTTTCTTTATTTTTTGTATTAGGTTTAATATTAGATTTATAAATTTTTTAGGAAATTGAGAGAAAAAAAAAAGCAAAAATAGATGAAAACAAAGATTAAGGGAAAAACGTCACAAGACCTAATATTTAGAGAAAAAATAAAAAAATAAATGAAAAAAATAATGAGAGGAGAAGGGCAAAACAAAAACTTAGATGGGGACCTTTAATATTTTTTATCAAAATTTTATAAAAATTACAAGTAAATAAATTTTTTTAGCTAAATATAAAGGAGCATGGGATTCCACACCAATACATGTAGATCCGCCCCTGATTGCGACCAGTCCGGATGCAACAACGTTTTCTCACGGTCGCCTTTTGTCCGAACGCTTTCGCCGTCGCGTACGAAACTCAGAGCTCGTGTCCTTCCTATGAAACTCCGAGCTTGTGTACTTTCGCCTGCTCTAATCCCGAGATTTATGAGGACATTGGTCCAAGATATCCAGTTACAAAAAAAATCCCTTTGTCAACATCGCCTAAGTATATGAGACTCCAACATCTCCTTCTTCCTTCTTCATGTTAGAATATTCTATGTTCGATAATAATGTTATCTTAATAATGGGACAATTGGTGATGTATTATTATAAACTATGCCTCCAATTGTCCTTTTGAGAAAGTTTAGGGTATAATATCATAAATAATTTCTTAATAATTTGAGGTAATCTTTGAAAAGCAGTTAAAAATCTCTATATATAAAATAAAAGTAGTGATACTTGCCATCACAACCACGTTTATGAATTTTTTTATAAAAAAATCATTTAATTCTCCACAAGATTGTTTTCGGGTTTCAAGAACGTCTGCGGACTATCCAATGGATATAGGTATATGCTCTAGTTACTTTTGTTTTATCTGATTTAATATTTGATTTTAGAAATACATGTGATTTAGTTTTATTATTAATAAAAATAATTATTTAAAAAGGACTTATATCTTTTAATTTCAAATCCAAACGTGAGAAGAGGTATTAGTATTAACTCGAGTCAATGTAAAAGTGTCTTCCTCCTTACCCACCGGAAAAATTCATGCACCGGCTGCCAGAGTACTACCCACCCACCGCCTCCAGTCGAATACCAGCCACCGGAATACCCGACTCCGCCGTCGGTCCCTTACAACTGTATATTTGAAAATACATATATAGATCAGGCATATATGTGTGTTTCCTAATAAAACTTTTGAAAACTTTCTTCTGGTGAATTTTTTTTCTTATTTCGAAATTTTGAAACGTTCTTTTTTCCTTGCCTAAAGGCTAAAGCGATGCTGACTCTCGACTCGAGATGGACCCATCCACAACGGTCGGTCGAATGAACGCCCAAAAAAAAAATCAATAATTGTATGCTCCTGTTATAAATCATTTCATACAATATTATTCTATACATCATCGAAAATATTGGGGAAAAAAATGAAAAGCCACCGACGGTCGAGCAAAGTCTCACCCTCGACCACCGTCATCTACGCTTTTCAAAATGACCATATTACCCCTACGGCCACCCTAGAAATCCCGATTGAAGAAACCCTTACTCCTTCTCCGTCGCCACAACAACCGACCACCTCCTCCGCGGCGGCGCGGATTCAGTCCGCCTACCGATCCCACCGGATCCGAGGCCTATACAAGACAATCTCCTCCGTCGATCGGGAGGCCGGTCTGCTGCAGAGCCTGATCCAACGGCAGGAGACGGTGGACGCCATAAGAACTGACGACCGAGAACGTCTGAGGATGAACGAGGCTCTGATGTCTCTGCTTCTGAAGCTGGATTCCGTACCAGGTCCGGATCTGACGGTTAGAGAGGCTCGGAGAAAGGTGAGTCGTCGGATCGTCGGTATGCAGGAGATCCTCGACTCGATCTCCGATGCAAAGGACGAAGATCCATGGTGGTGGTGCGACGGCGGAGGAGGAGGCGCGTGGCCGTTGTACTGGGAAGAAGCGGCGGAGGAGGATATCTGCAGAGAGAGAGGCGGTGATGAAATGGAGAGATTCTGCGCTCAGTATTTGGGTTTGAGGTGCTTCCAGAGATTTCTCAGAGAATGACGACGGCCCCTCCGTGGTAATTATCCTCTGTGACGCGACGTACGGTACACAAATCTTTCTTTCTTGTTAATTACTTAATTATCGGGTATCTAATCCGTAGTAATGTATCCTAATCTTTTATCGTTTGTGTAAGTGAAATACGGTCCGTCTTTCCACCCATAAAACGCCACGGAGTTTAATTAAAATTATTTTTTGAAACCGAAAGATATTGATTATAGTTACTAAAACGGAGGGATATGAAGGAAAAATTGCATAGAAATAAAAATATCTCAGATAATAATATCTGGACTATAAATTTGAATTTTTTAAATTTTTTGAAAAATTCTCAAATAAACCCAAAATTCGTTAATGATATCACTTATTTTTATTTGAAAAATATCTGAATTTTATATTTATTTAGAAAAAATTTCAAAAGTCCACGTATTTATTAGTATTTTTAAAAGTTTAGATATTTATATAGAAGTTTTATGGTTAAGATATTTATATAGAATTTTTATAAAAGTTTAGATATTTATATGCTATGTTACCAAATATGAACGATCCAGAAAATCAAATCGTTTTCTAATGATGGAAATTGATCGTTTAAGAGGATGTAAAACAAGATTTCTCTTATTATTTTCTCTCTTGAAAATGTACAATAAGAAGAACAATGGTCTATTTATGGATTGAGGTGATATATAAATACTCAATATCACCTTCATTCGTGGTTTCGATGTACTACCAATTTTGTTTGATATCTTTAAAACTTAATAAATTTTTTTAGAATTTGGAAGAAAATAATGCATCATTGATTGTAAAGAAACTCTTTTAGAGTTTTCAATTATTTTTGCCTTTCCAGATATATTAGTGATATTTCTTTTATTTATTCTCGCATTTGAGAAATATTTTCAGTCTTTCAATATGTAGGTGTTGTAACACTATCTACTAAACATATATTTTCTCATCGGTTCACAGATTTACTGATTAATAATGTTAAACATCGTGACTAAAATTGAAATAGTGGCACAAATGTATGTGTAGCTATTTTACAAAGGTCCAACGAAAATATATATATCATAAAATTGTTTATATATGAAAATGTATATATAGATTATCATAAGATGTATTATATATATATTAAAGATGCAAATATATGTATGTCTTTTATAACTTTATTCATAATCGGTGTCATCTTCAAGATGAGCAAAACTATTGGTAAGGTCTATGTGTGAATTTTTTGGTATTTTTCTCTTTTATTTTTTTAATTGATATTTTATAGAGTTCCATCGGATGTTTAGCGGCGCGACACATATATGACTTATGTTTAGTCATTCCACATCAGTGACACTCATCTTTTTATCTTTTTGTTTGGATAATCGTTTCTACTTCGATCTTGGCCTCGACCTCGAATTCTACCACGACCTCGACTATTATAAAATGTAGCATTCAATCTAGGGAATGAAGTATTTTCTGTAGTATTCATTTCAGAGAATGGACAACTCCAGTTGGTCATGACATATAATTTTTCACCAGTAGCTCATTATTTTGTTCGGCCAATAAAGACATAAGAAAAACTTCAAATATTTTGTGTATCATTTTTTTCCCGTTATTGTTGTTAGAATATAATATCAGAGGCGTGCATAGTGTAGAATGTTTTTTCTAATTTTTCCTTTTTGGAGATGATCTCTCCACATAATTTTAAAATCGATGTGATTCAAAATATCACTGATAGATTTGAAAATTTGAAACCGGAGACGAGTCTATTCATATTTTGTCTTAAAGAGGATAACCGTTTTTTTATGATCAAAGCGATCTTTTAGCGCTATCCAAACATCTATAGGATTTTTGAATGTTAAATATTATTTTTTTTCAAATCTTCACGAATATGATATCACGGTAATATCAGTACTTTGCCTTTGTTTTCTATTGATTTTTTTTGTCTTTATCAATTATGTCATTCATGATAGATAAATTTTTTTCTGAGAAGGACTTTGAAATGAATTTCACCCACATTCGCCATATTGGCGAATTGAACAAGAGAATAAGCCATACATTAACTTTAATGATTATCATAGGAAATATAACATAATGAGATGCAGTGAATTGCTATAATTAGTAACAAACAAAAGTAAATAAAACAAACAAAAAATTAAAACATAAATGGATCAAGATCGTTTTGGAAGATAAAATACCGAAGGTTAATGCTAAAACTATCATAACAAAGAAAATTTTAATAAAAATCTTTATCATCTTGAGATTTTTTTTCGTGTAAGAAGAAGAGAGAATGAGATGATTTTTGTGTGAATTATTAAGTGAATAAATGAATGTATTCATAGTATAAAAAATACTATTCCTAACCATTGGGGAGGAATATTTTTTTGTTAACCGGTAAGAGCCTTTGTTTATTTATTTAAACTAGTCGTTATAATTTTATTATTATTATTATTTTAATAATAATAATAAATAAAAATTTTACAATGACTATTTTAAAAAAATAAAAAAAAGCTACTAACGGTCAACAAAAAAAAAATTCTCCCCAACGACTAGGAATAATATTTTTTACACTATAAATACATTCATTCATCCATTCAATAATTTACACAAAAATCATCGCATTCTCTTTTTTTTTTCACGAAAAAAATCTCATAAAATTTTTTATTAAAAATTTCTTTGTTAGGACAGTTTTAACATTAATATTTAGTATTTTTATCTTTAAAAATGATTTTTATTCATTTACACTTCAATTTTTTGTTTGTCTTATTTACTTTTGTCTATGAATTACTAATTATAGAGATTCATATATAATTATATATATCATTTATGTTGTATTTTCTATTATAATAAATAAAGTTAATGTATGACTTATTTGATTTTTTAGTTCATCACCATTGTAAATATGGCTAAATCGATTTCAAGATCTTTGATATCTCATGAAAAATAATCTATCATGGATGTTGGATACTGAATTACATTTGCCATCAAAATGTTTGGTGACACAATTGATAAAGATAAAAAATATCATCTGAAAATAAAGCGAAGGTACCGATATTACTACGACATTATCTTCATGACGATTTAAAAAAGAATATTTAATAGCCAAAGATCCTATAGATCTTTGGATAATATTAAAAGATCGCTTCGATCGTCCAAAAACGGTGATCGTCCTCAAGGCTAAATATGAATAAATTCACCTTCGATTTCAAGATTTCAAGTATATATGTCAATGATTATAACTCAGCGATATTTTGAATTACGTCGATTTTAAAATTATGTGGAGAAACCATCTCCGAAAAAAAATATTGGAGAAAAAATTTTCAACTATGCATGCCTCAAACATTATACTCCAACAACAATATCGAAAAAAAAGATATACAAAATATTCAAAACTGCTCTCATGTCTTCTATTGGTCAATGAGGAAAATGAGTTACCACGTGTCATGACCAGCTGGATCTGTACCATTCCCTGAAGTGAATGTTATATAAAATACATCATTTCCTAGATTTAATGATATATTTTATAATAATCGAGGTTGTGGCAAAATGCGAGGTTGGGATCGAGATCTTGGAGGTGATCGAAGTTGTATCAGAGGAGGTGGTCGTGGAGCCTCATTTCAGAATTGTAATTTTCATCATAACCATAATATAGGGGGAACACATGGACACGATTATCCAAATAAAAAGATAAAAGCAAATGCGTATCACCAGTGTAGAATGATCGGACATTGATCATGTACGTGTCGCACCGCTAAACATCTGGTGAACCTCTATCAAAAATTAATTGAAGAAACAAAAGGGAAAAACGTCGAGACCAATTACATCATATGTAATTCTGATGATGATACTAGTGATGCTAAAGATTATGCACACATAAATCTTACTGATACCTTTGTCCATCCTGAAGATTACGCTAATTATGAATAGAGCTACAAAAGGGCATATCTATTTACTTCATTTTCATATATGTAATCAATATCATGATAATTCATATATGCATTTTCATCTGTACCATTATTTTTAGGAAAAATTATATTTTTCTATACAAAATTATTAAAATGTGACATTTTTATACGAATTTTTAATTTGATAAAAACCTATACCAAATTATCAAATATCTCAAATCGATACACGAATTACCAATTTTACTGCAATTTACTACATGATCTGAAACAGTGTTAAGTGTCCGTTAACGGTTTACGTGGAAGGCCACGTGAAAATTTTTTGTCACGTCATCACGACAAGTCAGATTTTTTTATAAAAAAACAAAAAAAAAAACTAGAAAATAAAAAAAAATACATATATACATATATATATATATATATTCATATCTACATATAAATACAAATATAAACATATATACTTCTATATATATAAACATATCTATATATACATACAAAATAAAAAATATACACATATATACGTGTATCGATTTGGGACATTTGATAATTTACTAATTTCGTGTAGAAAAATATCATTTTCCCTTATTTCTATAATTTAGTAACGATATTAAACATTATTAATCAATACATCTATTTTCATTTTTTATCATATTGTTTTGCTCTTGAATAGATAACAAATATGAAAAAAATCTATGAACCGATGAGGAGATATATGCTTAGCAGATAATGGTACAACTATAACGACCCGCGACTGATGTGAAATGTCGAAACTGTCCTCACACATAAATACGACACCTCCCAGCGTGTTTTGTTTTCACTCGCATGCATACCGAAATACTTTCCAATAGGTCACCCATCCTGAGATTGTTCTAGAGTCAACACATCTAATTTTGGAGTTCTCTCGGGATAGTCAACCGAAAAGATAGGTGCACCTTGTTGCTATGAGTAGCCTAACTAATTCTTTTATGTTATCTTACATTATATAATCCCATATATATAGCCACCAGACCTCTATCATTCCAGTGCGTTCGATTCATTATTGTACCCCTTTGGCCGTTGTGGTACTCAAGGAACCGCTCATTGACCATACCATCTGCACCGGTGAATACTACCAACTCTCATCATAGCTTGGGATATCACAGGCTCAACAATTTCCATATGGTTCATCCTCGAACCACACCGTACTGGAAGAGTATCGGCTCTGATACCATCTATTACGACTCGTGACCACTACGAAATTTCGAAATTTTTCTCACACACCAACACGAGACCTTCCAGCATGTTTTGTCCTCACTCGCACACATACCGAGACACTTCCCAATATATCACCCATCCTGAGATTGTTCTAGAGTCAGCACGCTTAGCTTTTGAGTTTTCTCGTGATAGTCAACCAAAAAGGTAGGTGCAGACGCGGATCGTTACACCAACACATACAATAGTGATAGACAAAAAATATTTCTCAAATATGAGAATGAACAAAG